GAGAGTGGGCACCTCCCAGAACATTGTTTTGCGCCACTCCCAACAGAAATACTCCAGGTGGACAACTTCAGCAATCAGGAGCTCCTCAGTTGCTCATAGCAATTCCCACCTTGGAGTTTACAAAGACTTATGGGTAGAAAAGCCACACTAAGTAATTTACTACACCACACTTGGGGACCACCAAGTCTGGGTTTTGTCAGGAGCAACTCCCCATGTTCCAGGAGCACCAGTTTCTTCTTTAACCCCACCTCTCAGGGGACATGCACTCAGTGGCACTTGGGTGCGGGGGAGGAGTGTCCCTTGGACTGTGGCTTCAGCACAGCTCTGCGGAGTGCGTGGGAGCCTTTGCACATGTACAGCGTTGCCCCGTGTGCCCAGGCCAGTGGGGCCTTGTGTGGGGGGAGAGTTGGGGACTGGGGTCAGAGTTGGGTCAGGATGGCATATATGGCCGGCTGAGTCCCCGGCCAGACATGCCTGTGGTGATCCTGAATGCCGGGCACATCAGCCAGCGGGGCCCGCTCGGTGAGTGAGCTCAGATGGTGCGTGAACATGTACAAGCTGACTGTTGGCGTCAGCCACCACTGAGCTGGCCCCCTGGGTGGGTGCTGTCATCCTTTCTGTTAGCACCCAAGGGTTTAACTGTTCCACCACCATGGCTCCTTAGAGAAAATGAATTTCCATCATATGCTTTATCTAACCCAACATATCTGAAATACTGTCATTTTCCCGTGTCGTATACACATCAGTATATGAATCATTCGTGATATATTTCACTTGTGTGTGTTCCACACACCTCCAAGCATATCAGCCACATTACAAGGGCTGCTGGCCGCCCTGTTGGAGAGTGGGCCCCTGGAAGGGTTTCCGGCTTCCTTTCCGTCTGGTCTCTGGTCGGGGCAGTCCCTCACTCTTACGTTTGTCTCCTGCCCCCAGACCGGCTTGCCCAGCTCTTCGTGGCCTTTAACCAGCACGCCAGGAGGTATAACTTTGGGAGCCTTCACCTGTCCTTCAACATAGCCAACTTCATCCGGGACCTACTGCACACACATCTCCCAGCCAACATCCACCAGCTCGTCTCAGGCAAAATGTGCGTCTCGCTCACCAGGGTGTCCGACGGGGAGAACGTGCAGGTGTCTGACTTCCAGTCTAAAGACGAAGTCGTGGATGTAAGTAGTCTCCTTCCCTGGGTTTTGTCACATCACGAAGGGGGTTGACTTCTTTTGCGTTGGAAACCGCACAGAAGGGCCACCTGCCCCGTGTCTTAAGTTGTAAAACATCGGTCACGCGGGTGCTGGTTTGCCTTGTGTATCAGAGCGGCGTGAGCTCCGTGTGCGTTAGTGTGCTGGCGACAGCCTGTCAACCCTGAACGTTGTGGGGCGGCGTCACGTTCGATGTTTCCTACAGATCCCTCAAGACTGGGCTCACGACCACTTCCTCCAGGGGACCATCTCAGTGGGCCCCTCACCCCGACATGTCCTGTACACATTCCGTAACGAGGACACGTGCTGAGGGGAAGCCCCACTAGGGTGGGGACTTGTCTCCTCTGCCTCCGTCTTCAGGGTCCGACACAGAAGATCCCCTGCAAATGCCTTTTGTCCTCGTGTCCCGGTGCTGCCATCACAAGCCTCACTGAGTGGGTGGCTCTCGAGAACAGAAATGTCTCACCGTCCTGGTGGCTGGGAGGCCACGGCTGGAGTGCCAGCAGGACCACACGCTCCCCCCGTCTCTCTGCCCTGGGGAGCTTGTGTCTCGTTCAGCTTCTGGGGGCTCCGGGCATGTCTTTGCTTGTAGATGGGGCCTCACATTGTGTCACCTCCCTGTTTCCGCATCAATTTTCTCCTTTTACAAGACACGGACCCACTGCTGTTGAGTGGATTCCGACTCATGACGACCCCACGGGACAGGCCCCTAGGGTTTCCATGGCTGTAATCAGACAGTAGTTTGTTGTGATCCAAGGAATTTTCATGGGCTAATTCTGAAAGGAGATCCCTGGGTCTTTCTTCCTAGTCTTGTCGTAGTCTGGAAGCGCTGCTGAAACTTACTACCAGGGATGACCCTGCTGGTGTTTGAAATACTGGTGGCCTACCTTCCAGCCTCCTAGAGAACACAGGTTACCCCAGTGCAACATGCTGACAGACAGAGCTGGGCTCTGGTACAACCTCGTTTAGTTCGGCTGATGATCAAGTCCCTGCTTCCATACGAGGCCACAGGTGCAGGTGCCGGGCTTCAGACTTACACCTGACTTTTAGAGGAACACAATTCCATCCCTGATCCCATTGATTTTGGCTGGAGCTTTTCATAAAACCTCCTTGGCTGCACAGGGAGGAAGTGGGAAGAGAGCTGTATGGGGAATTGCAGTCAATGTCGTGAAACAAAATGTGTATGAATTGCTGTCTGGAAAATGCATTTGCTCTGTCAGCTTTCCCTCGGATCACAGTGAAATGTTGTTACAAAGTTCCTGGGATGAAGGACTTGACTTCACCCAGGTCCGTACAGACAGCAGCCCGGCCCGTTCCCCAGCAGCCCGGTGCCTCCTCTGCAGGGCCTTGTTTCCAGAGGCCTTCTCTAGACAGCCAGCACCTGGCCTGCGTGACTGGTCCTTATCAGCACCCCGCCCTGCCTTGCTCTCCAGCTCTGTGCTGCTCAAAGTGTGGTCCTCGGACCGGCAGCATCAGCATCCTCTGGGAGGGTGACAGCACGCAGTGTGTCAGGCCGGCCCCGTCTACTGCATCAGAGTCTTGGGCTGGGCTCCGGAATGGGTGTTGCTCAGGGCGTTCAGTGAGTACCAGTGTTTGAGCAGCACTAACTGAGCCCCTCCCCACCCTGGCCTGCCCGCCACGGCCCTGTGCGGCTCTTGTGTGGGAGCAGAGACAGAAGTCCACAGACGCTGGAGATTGGAGCCACACACCTAAGACACGAGTGTGTGTGTTGGCTGCGCCTGCTCTTGGCCTGGTGGTTAAAGCATCTACTCTGTGCAGGGAGCATTTGCCGCTGTGTTGTCCAGATGATTTGGAGCAGGCCTGCGAGGGGCCGTGTTCCGGGTGGTGTGGTCAGTTAGGCACTTTTCCATTAGCAGATGGAAAGGTTGGCGGTTCAAATCCAGCCAGCGGCAGCTTGGAAGACGGGCCTGGTGACCTGCGTCTGAAGGTGACAGCGTTGAAAATCCTGTGGAGCAGTTACACTCTGCCTGTGCCTGCGGGGTCACCATGAGTCAGAGTTGACTTAGAGCAACCGGTGTGGTTTCCGTGTTTTTCTAAGGGCCCCGGGGGATGAAGGTGGCGCGGTCCTGGCCGGGCTTTCACCCCGTCTTTGTCTTCACAGGCCTTGGTCTGTTCCTGCTTCCTCCCCTTCTTCTCTGGCTTCATCCCCCCTACCTTCAGAGGCGTGGTAAGTCTGCTCATCGATTGATTTATTCAGTGTGTGTGTGTGTGTGTGTGTGTGTGTATGATTCAGGTGAAAGTTTGCAGAGCAAATTGGTTTCCCATTCAGCAATCAAGACACGTTCTCTCCTGGGATGCTCACTGCAGTCCCCACACTGTGACAGCACTCTGCCCGCGTCCTCCCTGTGCCCACCGGTTCCCTTCCTCCTTCCTTCCTAGCTCTGCCCCTGGGCACGTGCTGTCCTCTGGATGTCATGTGCTTGATTGCTGGAACAGTGCACACCCTCCTGATAACGCTGTTCACTTTACAGCCTGTCATTTGCCTGACAGCTGGCTCACGTTCAGTCTCGGGGTTTCCACCTGTTTTCATCAGGCCAACAGGCCTGGTCCTTTTTTTATAATTTTCAGTTGTGTTCCACATTTTTCTCCAGTCTATCAGGGACCTCCTACTGTGACCCCTTTCAGCTGGTTGACTGGTCAGCAGCGGTCGCCGGCACCATCTGGTTCCCCTGGTCTCAGGGTCGTGGAGGCTGGGGTTCCCGTGGTCCCTTGGTCCTTTGGACTCATCGTTGCCTGCATCTCTGGTTTTCTCCACTCTTCTTTGCTCTGGACGGGGAGAGACCAATACTTGCATCTTAGAGGGCTGCTGACAAGCTTTTCAGACCCCAGTTGCTACTCACCGAAGGAGGACGTAGAACGTTGCCCTTGTGACTATGTTATGCCAGTTGACCTTAGTGTCCCCCAAGACTGTGGTCCTGACCCTCCAAACCCACTGACTCAGTCCCTCAAGGGGTAAATGTGCATTTTGGCTGTTGCTAAATCTGAGGTGGGAGTTGGGGGAGGAGGGTGGCAGCCCCGCTCCAGGGGTAGAATTCTCTCCTTCCGTGCGGGAGACCTGGTTCAACCCCCAGCCAGCGCACTCAGGAGTCACCAGCTGCCTGTCAGTGGAGGCTTGCATGTTGCTATGATGCTGGGCAGGTTTCAGCCACGCCTCCAGAGTAAGGGGGACCAGGAAGAAAGGCCTGGAAATCTACTCAGAAGAAACCAGTGAAAACCCCGTGGATGGCAGGAGGCCCCACCCGTTGTGTATGAGGTCTCCAGGATTTGTGGGCCCAGTCAGTGGCACCAGCGGGTGCCAGGGTGGCAGGTTCCTTCTCCCGGTGACGAGCACAGCTCTTCCTGTGAGCACCCAGGGACCTGCCAACACACAGCCTCCTGCCTCTGGCTGTTCAGACAAAGCAGCCACAGCTGGTCCCACTTCCAGGCTGCCTGGCAGCCAAGCCACTTTGTGTAATTAATCACCCAACAGGAGCTCTGGTGGCACAATGGTTAAAGCATCTGGCTGCTAACCAAAGCATTGGTGGTTCAAAGTCATCAGCTGCTCTGCGGGAGAGAGATGAAACAGTCTGTTTCCATGAAGATTGACAGCCTTGGGCAGTTCCACTCTGTCCTCTAGGGGCCCTGTGGGTCAGAATGGACTCCAGGGCAGTGGGTGTGGTTTGGGCTTTGCTTCTGTGAAGACTGACAGCCTTGGAGACCCTGTGGGCAGCTCCACTCTGTCCTCTAGGGGCGCTGTGGGTCAGAATGGACTCCAGGGCAGTGGGTGTGGTTTGGGCTTTGCTTCTGTGAAGATTGACAG